AATACCGACTTCTGCACATGGGCCACAAAGTTTCAATTGCACGTACATGCGCACCCGCACGTGGTATTTTGTGGAAGAGCCACACTCAAGGGGCCAAAGAGCGGCATGTGGCTCGCAAGCTGCGGTTTGCTGACCAGGGGTCTAGGGAGCTTCGGGTGGGATGGCTCATCTCTCCTTGTGGCTTTTCATCCAGTAAGGTAGACCTGGCTTCTTCCCATAGGCAGTCTTAGGGTAGCACTCTGAGAGTCAAGAGCAAAAGTTTCAAGGTCCCTTGAGCCTTGGGCTCAGTTTATGCTGTCACTTTGCCACTTTTGTTTTAGTCAAAGTAAGTCAAGGCCAGACTAGAATTAAGGAGCAAGGAAATAAGTTTTTCTTTCATTGCACTGTTTCTGTAGTCTTTGCGATGGTTTTCTTTTTCAGTTTTGTTACTTTATAGTAGAGGTTATCCTCAAATTTTCTGTGTCTCTTGGCTGTTCATTTACATTAATTCCTGATGGAAGGGGAAGCAAAGTCACGTTGCAAAGAGGCATGAGTACCCAGATGTGAGGCACTGATGCCCTCGTCTTTGCATTCGCGTAATACACATTATAGACCCTTCTAGGTGGGAAGTTATTTTCACGCAGAATTTGGAGGCATTGCTTCATTGCTGGCACTGAGCAGGTCTGTGGTGTGGTGACTGTTTACTTTGTGTAACTTTTCCCTCTCTCTGCAGGATTTGGAACCTTCTGGTTATTTGCAATACACTGAAATGTCCTGCTGACGTGGCCTGGTGTGAGTTCTTTTTCATTCATCATGTTGACGTTCCATTGGTATTTTTGACCCAGAGATCCTGTTCTTTGACTTGTGGGGATGTCCTGGGATCACATCTTGGATCATTTCCTCTCCACAGTTTTCTCTACTTGCTGGAACTCCTGTTATTTGGATGTTGGACCACTAACCAGATCCTCTAACTTTCTTAACTTTTCCACTCTGTTAAGTTCTTATTATGTTGTTATATTTTCTGAGAAATTTCTTCAACTACATGTTCCTTCTCTTTTACTAAATTTTTAATTTCAGCATTCGTGTTTTTCATTTTCAATCGCTTTTTCTTGGTCTCTTACTTGTTAAAAGGCGTCTTATTCTTGCTTCCAGCATTTTCCTGATATATTAATTACATTTTCCTTGAAGTTTTCATTTCATTGCATTGTTTCTGTAGTCTTTGAAATGGTTTTCTTTTCCTCTTTCTTTCAGTTTTGTTCCTTTATAGTAGAGGTTATCCTCAAATTTTCTGTGGCTCTTGGCTGTTCATTTACATTAAAAGCTGATTGGAAGTTCTAGGGCCATGGTCGGCAAACCGCTGCTCGAGAGCCACATGCAGCTCTTTGGCCCCTTGAATGTGGATCTTCCACAAAATACCACGTGCAAGCGGGCACGGACAGTGCGATTGAAACTTCGTGGCCCATGCGCAGAAGTCGGTATTTTGTGGAAGATCCACACTCAAGGGGCCAAAGAGCCACATGTGGCTCGTGAGCAGCAGTTTGCCGAACCGCAGTTTGCCGACCACTGCTCTAGGGTGTAGCAGGCACATTGCCTGGTGGGCTTCACTGTAGATGAAGCCAGTGGGCAAATGGCTTTTTCCTTGAGCATCTTAGGTCTTCTCTCAGTGGTAGCTCACTTTACCCAGAAGAGTTCTTACCAGCGTTGCCCTTGGCCAGAGCAAGAGGGCCCTGCCTTCTGCTTCGTGCTATCAGGGCCTCGCTCTGCCCACCCTTCTAAAGGGCAAGGAGTCCATAGGACCGAGTTCATGCCCACCTGTGACCCACCCTGCTCTCTCTTTAGGGTTTTCTCCAAGCACCTGGGGCCACAGAATGCCCTGCCCAAATGACCTCTATTTCCAAGGCCTACATGTGCCTTCCCTGGATGATCTTCCTAAGAGCAGACCCTGCTGCACCTTAAGGCCTGAGAAGAGGCTAAAGAGTGGCTGCTTTCAGGGGCGTATAGATGGAGTGGAAACAATTAGTTTCCAGCCACAGGTGGAAGATAAAAGACCAGGACAGGTCTTCGTGTGGCTGTTTATTTTAGAAAGTGAACAAAATGTGGTTTATTCTGAAAACTGCAAAAAAGGAAGCAGGAACAGGAAAGGAGAGCAGCAAGAAAACCTGGCAAACGTGGATTCATTACAGAAAGAACAAAGCGTAGGGTCAGGGCCTGTCACTTGCACAGACCTCTTCCAAAGCCCTTTCTTTTCCCAGCCAAGGAAAATTCCCTTTTTGTACCTAATTTTTATTTAGTATTATTTTCCTTAAAGATGATTTTAAAATTGCATAAGCTTCACAGCCACAAAACCTGGATCTGTAGCTGAGACCAGGAACTATATTTTAAGACTTTATATAGAGAAAGAGAGATAATGAGACAGAGATACATACCTGGAAAAACAGCTGATTGGAAGCAGCATAGGTTTTTTGAAAATCCTAAGAAAAAATAGGGGCCCCAAAAAGAATGGTTGATGCAATGTAAGTTGAAAATTAATCTGACCAAGAAGTGACTCAGGAACTAACTTTTAAAGGACACCAACATTGGTAAGACAATTGCTCAGAGTTGGTCTGTTAGGAAAGCCAGGCAAGAGACGTGCCCTAATGCCCGCCACCCTTTCAGATTTGCTGACCAATCTGAACTTAGCTTTCAGCCTCTTCAAGTAACAAAAGCTGCACTTACCTAAGGCTGCCACCAGGTGGCAGACGTGGCTTACTCAAGCATGATTTTGCCACACTGCTAAAACTCAAAATGTCTTTTAATTCTCAAGCAATTTTGTGAGGTAAGTGCCGTGGTTTTCATCACTTTTCAGATGAGGCTAAGAGATGCTCCATAACTTGCTCATATAGGATGATGTTTAGTTGGGGATTTGCAAGATGAGATACATATAAGTTAATTTTGTCAGCACAGGACAAGGGAATTGCGAAAAGGCACACTGGAAAGTGTCTGTCAGCTTTCCTTCTGTTTCCAGGTGTGCCCAGAACGCTCCCCAAACTACAGATGCAGGCATCGGAGGAGAGCCATGTCTTAGACACACTCTGTTTCACACCTGCTTGTTAGTCTCTTTCCCCTCTTGTGTCATCTTTCATTTCCGTAGCCCTGCATCCTGTTTGGCACATCTTGAACGGAAAGCAAACGCATGGACATCATTCAACAGGAGGAAGGACTCGCTGCCTGCCTTCCCCATCCCACAAGGCTGAGGAGGGGGTGAGGTGCATCTCTCTGGGGAAAAGTCAGCACCACCACCCTCCTCAAAGGCGTCTTGGCATTTCCCTAAGGCGTGCCAAAGAGAACCTCTCCCCGGCTTCAAGGACCAGGGAGGGATCACCCAGAAAGACACGTTGATGTTGCCTGTACCTGGGACTGGTAACACACACACACACACACACACACACACACACACACAATCTGACTTTCGGTGTTAGACGTAGTTTCAAGGGACATTGTCCTTGATTTTCATATTCTTTAGAAGCACATCAAGCCGACCTTCAGGAAGTGGGAACCAAGGAAGGGACACAGAATTATAAATGCACAAGAGTCTGCATAGGAAGCCATCCCACAGAATGCAGAAATCTCGATGAGAAGCACTGTTCTTCAGTCGGCTCACTGGTGAGGACAGGCCCATATACAGGAGGCAGTAGCGCTGGGTCATAAAAGAGGTCGAGTTTTCAATAAAGTTTGAAATCATGAAATCCCCACCTAACCTCAAGTGCCTCCTCTCACTGACCTCAAAACGCCTGAGTCAGAGGCCTTACTCGGAGTCCTGCATGCCAACGACAGTGCGAGCACAAGGCTGCAGCTCAGCACCCAGAGAACAGAGCCACACCCCACCTTCCAAAGCTCCAAGTGCTGGGAACAGCACAGCTCCTACAAATAAGATAGTGAAACAAACAACTCCTAATTCCAGGGACTCTGATTAGATCAGACACAGCAGCCTGAGCAGGACTGACAGCAGAGAAATGTGGGGACACTGGCTTTAGGAAGAGGCTGTGGGCATTGGGGGCAGGTGGAAAGGGCTGAAGGCCTGGCCAATGACCTGGGGTTCTCGCGGGGACTCCCCGCCTCCAGCAGGGTGGATGTGGGTGTGTGCAGTCTCACTCTATGTTGCTCTCTAGACGACAGGGAAGAGCCATGGCCAGAAGTCACCGGGATGCAGATACAAGCTCACTATAGGGAGGAAATTGTGAGCAACTCATGGGACAGGTAACCTCATTACCTGTGCAGCTGGAGCCTGCAAGAGCGCTGGTCACAGTGGTACAGACAGACTCCCTCAATCTCCAGGGTTCCTCTTGACTGGGGTCTGAAGACTCTGGGGTCGGTGGACCAACACTGTCCAGGGGTCTTGTGGAGGGGACACAATTGCTCAAATAACACCGCCCTCACTGAGTGTGACTCCTTGGTGCATCAGCTCACAGTGGGAGAGGAACGGTGGGCAGGGATCGGAAGCGAGAGGAAGGGGTCAATGGCCTGTGCCGTTGCTCAATACATGGATATCCTGGCCGAACCCCTGCTAAGGAACAGGGCCACAAGTCACACTCGGGAGCCCTGAGCATAGACCCACCTCCTCCATGCACATGGAAGGGAGGGGGGCACATTCTCACTCCCTCAAAATTAGACTACTTCCTCCATACAGGGGGCTGAAGAGCACCTAACGGTTCTTTTTAAAGACAAAGTAACAGTGTGGGGAAATGGCGAACGAAGGAGGTTAAATATTCCCAGTGAGCATCTCATGCATGAAATTCATCTCATTAAAACTCATACTTCCAATACATGGGTGTGGGTGCGGCATTCCTGCCGAATTTGCCCTGTGGAGAGCACAAGGGCCTCGAAACTGCCCTCCTGAGCGGGGCCTGTGCATGGTGGAGAGTGAGGAGTGAGAGGAAGGGGAAGCCAGAGAGAGGGCTATCCACCTCCAAAAGGAAAAGCACTCTCCTCATTCAAAAGACCAAGTCCTACTGAGCCACATGATGATCTTAGTAAAAGTGGAGATCGTTGTAAAAGAGAAATTTTAATTTATGCTGGGAAAAAAAGAATCTCAGGAGACAACATTCTGGTGTTTCTCAGAAGCAGGTAAATCGTGGCTTTCTACATTTTCTTTCAACACAGGGAGCACCTGAGATCCTACGGACAGGAAACATGGAGAAGAAAAATCCAAAGACATATGCATCAGGTACACTCCGAAGTTTACCTGTGGACAAAGCAGCAACAACTAGATTACTTGAGCAGCTGGAAACATTTGGTAAATAATGTTCAACTGAAATTAAGTCACATATTTAAAGAAACAAGGGAAATCCTCATTGCAGACACCAAAGACCCTCATTCTAAGGTGTCCTTTCCCAAGTCACCCCATATTCTTTATGGCTGGACCCATCCTTTTTCCTCCTTCCTGTCTACCCTGCATTTTCCATGAGAACATGTGATGCCAGTTAAATTCCCCAACTTCTCCAGAATAAAGATGGAGGGTCCAAAATGCAGTCTGATCGAGGTTTGCCATCACCGCCGGTGAGCCAGTAAAAACCCTTTGGCGTAGGTGACATGCTCCCAGACCTGTTCATTTCTGTGATAACATCAGTTGGCCACCCGCTCCCCCTGTTCCAGGCCCCAGACGAGGGGCTGGGGCAAATTAATTCCTTAAGGTTTGTGCACATGTGGGCGAAAAGTACACAGGAACTCTCTATGCTATCTTTGTAATTTTTCTGTAAATCTAAAAATATTCCAAATTTTAAAAAAATAAAAGATTTGTGCACATGAGAATTCTAAGATGCTTTGATGCACCACAGTGTTTGTGCCCACCCATCTCCTGGCAGCACGGGGCAGGCTCAAGGTCCCTATGCCCCTCGTTGACACAGCGGCCTCTGCTGAGCAGACAGACGTGTTGGTATAACGCTCAAGTGCAACATCTCTGAAGACCATATCTACCCCGTATCTGTAGGGAGATCATGTCAATCAAATACTGTGAAACAAAACCCTGGTCTTGGAGAAACACAGGAAGCCGTGCAGAACATTTTACCCTGATTTAACCTGCCAATATGTTACTGGAGGGAGATTAAACATTTGCATTATTTCAGTTAATTTTCAAGAAATGCTCAGCGCAGCCTAACTGCTGACTTGACTTCCTGGAATTCTTTGCAAAAAAAGGTTCTAACAGGAAGTGGAAATAAGTAAGGTTAGCTTTTATCATCTGGACCCCACAACAACAGCACTCAGGCATGTTCACCCTCAAGAAGATGACTTACAAGCTTAGTACAGTGAAATTTATTACTGTTTCTATGAAGCTACTCTGTACACCATAAGGCATTTTACTCTTCATAAGAACTCTGCAGTGAAGAAAAGAATAATCCAAAAATAGAATTACTCCACTTACTCACTTTCACTTGTACTCCATATCTCTTCAACATGACTTGAGGGCATTAAAAATACACATAATAAGAGCCCCATAAAAGGAAAGATAAGATGGTGCCACAGATGAAGTCAGAACCTTAATGGTAGCCCAACAGCCTTTGAATGTTTCCTGCCTTTGAATATTTCCTGCTTCTAAAAATTACTGGGGAGGTAACACACCCGGATCTTGAAATGGGGTGCCGTACTTTGCAGTCATGCTCACCTTACTTTGCAGTCATGCTCACCTTTCTCTCTCGACTCTCTGAAAGCTTCTGGAAAACATCTTGGTTTCGTTGCCCTGGCATCTGTGACAAGGCCCCAAAACCTGGGAGGCGAGGACAGAAAAGACAGCGTTGCCATGAAAGTGACCAGACCCCCCGACTCTGCAGGGATGACTCTGGCTCCAGAGGATTTGGGTTGTAAAAGGCCACCCCGGGCCAATGTCAGACTTACAGAGAGATGCTCGATACTCTACTCTTAACTGTAAGGAGCCAGAAAGTGGCACCCCTTCGCAGTGCCATGGGCAGTCACCCGTAGTTGTTTCTAAGCCGAGAGGTTGTTGCTTCGGGGCTTTGCAGAGAAACCAGAGTGGTTGTGAATCTCAAGTGGTTACCAGGGAATGTTGGCGACCCCTCAGGGAGAAAAGAGCTAACTGATGGGAGGACTAACGGGGGAAGATTAACAGCCACAGACCCGGCCCTGAGTCTCTGTGAGGAAGCCATCATAAAGAACCTGAGTGTGTCCATGTCCTTGACTACCAGGAATTCAACTCAAGGAAAGAATCAGAAGTACAAGCACAGATTCATGTACAAGGATATTTCTCACATTATTTATACTAGGGGAAATGTGGCAGTAGAGAAGAATGGTTCAGCCAACCACACTACAAATATGACATACCTCATGCAGGGTTTTTTTGGTGTATGTGTATGTTTTAAATATGTTGTTATTGATTCTTTTTTAGAGAAAGAGGAAGGCAGAGGGAGAGTTAGACACATAGATCAGCTGCCTCCTGCACGCCACCTACTGGGGATCAAGCCCACAAGCCAGGCCTGACCAGGAATCGAATCGGTGACCTCTTGGTGCCTGGGACAATGCTCAATCCACTGAGCCACACCGGCTGGGCTCATACGGTTTTTAAAATTAACCTATAAAGGGCTTTAAATAAAATGGGAAATGCTTATTTTTACAACTGAAATAAGCAGGACACAAAATTACATGTGTATTCTTGTATATGTGTGTACTTAGATATGTACATATGTACACACACACACATACTACATAAAACACAGTACACAGCTTCTTAACAGGGGCCGTACTTTTATTCTGGATGGTCCACCATGAGCATGAATTGCTTTTATAGAAAGAAAAATTCCCCATAAATATTAGCGTTAAAAAAAGAAAGAATGCAGGTTAGTGACAAGATGCTCTTTCATTGCACACAGAAAAGGTACAAAGGATGCCTGGCCGGTATGATTCAGTTGGTTGAACATCATCCCATGAACCAGGAGGTTGCTGGTTTGATTCCCAGTCAGGGCACATGCCTGGGCTGCGGGCTTGATCCCCAGTCGGGGGCGTGCAGAAGGCAGCCGATTGCTATTTCTCTCATTGATGTTTCTCTCTCTCTCTCCCTCTCACTTCCTCTCTCTGAAATCAATAGAAAAGAAAAGGAAAGGTACGAAGGCACTTGATTATCTCATAACCACTTTCTCCTCTGCTCCCACGTGGGCAAGCACAACGTGAGCACTGAAATTAAAAACACTAAGCTAAATGGGGATGCACCTTGGCCTCTACCTGTCACTCCTATTCTGGCTGCCGGGCATTAAGCCAGAGGACACACACCTCACTGCGGTACCAAAGTCAAGATTCCAGGCCTCACAGGCAGAGGGTGCGCCATGAAGGAGCTCTGCCCGGTATTTACCTTGGGACGCTCAGCAGACCGTGACTTCACCAGGCCTCATTTCCCACCAGCTCCTTGGCTGGATTTGATAAGGAGACCAGATACTATTTCCAAGAAGCCGATCACAGGCCTGGCACTCAGTCGTGCTCAGACATAGAAACTGTCATTATGATAACATGAGAAGCCCTGAGATACGTTATACAACTGGCTACTGGCACTGCTATTATTAACGTGATCTCGGGCCCGCTGAAGAACCGGCACATGCAGTGCAGATGACCCATCCCCCTGCCCCTAGCTATTCCTGACCTTTCCTGTCCATCCATTACCTCGACAATTATTGAGCACTGACTCGGGCCAGGGCTGTTCTAGGCCCTAGAGGTGTGGTAGGGAACAAGACTTGGTCCCAGCCTTGTATGCTCTGAAGGAATAAGTGGGCGCTGTGCAGAGTTTGCCACGCGGTGGGTCAGGAACACCCTTTCCAGGAGGGAACATCTGAGCTGAGACTCTGCAGTAGCTGCTGAAAGAATGTGCCAGGCAGAGGGACAGCATGGGCAAAGGCCCTGAGGCAGGAAGCTCGGCTTGTGTAGGGAATGGAGAGAAGGTGGGTACCACAGGCAGAGGGGTGGGCTGACGAGCTTGGAGAGGCTGGTGAGTTAGGAGAGAATGGCTCCAGTCTGGGGGATGGTCAGAGGGGGTGCCTTATGCTCCCAAAGCCTAGGGAGAGGGGGCATCCTGGTAGCTGTGCCTCTGACTGCAAGCTCCTCCCAGCAAGACAGGAAGCTGGAGCATGGGGAGAAGGCGCAGCAGCCATTGCACTGATGGACCACTAGCCATTGAGGTCCTCCTCCATGAGCTTCAGACGGCCAAAAAGCCCAACAAGTTCAGCAGGACGAACTTCTCAGAGACACAGTATTCCAAGAAAACAGAATTTAAGCCTAGACCCTCGATGACGGGGGAGGTGGGGTGCGGGGGCGGGGG